AAAAGATATTTATAATATATTATATTATATTATATTATATATTATATATAATTTATAATATAATTGGTCTTTATCAGGGGACCTCAGCCGAGCTGAGCTGATGATGATGACCATTGCTGATGTCATCCAGCAGCTTGTTGAAGCTCATGAACAAGGCAAAGACATCAATCTCAACAAGTAAGTTTTTATGAACATGCAACCCATTGTAATCAGTTTACTTCGGTGAATCTACGTAACACAACGCAACAAAACTCCGTCATGTCATTAAGAAATGGCAGTTAATGAAAACTGGGAAAATAAGGACAAGATTTGGTCAAACGTTCAGATAAAACTGCTATCTCCTGGTTAGAAAGGTACAGCTACAATCTCATATGACTGCAAAGCCCCTGCAGGAGGAAGGTGTGGCTGACACCAGAGTGGTGGTGCACTCTCTCACTGTGCAGTGTTGATGCACAAACTGGGTCTATATAAAAGAGTCATCCCAATATTGGATGTTGCTATCAGTTTAAAAAGCCTGTGCTGTGAATCTGCCATTATTTTGTAGATCACAGTTCCCTTCTACGCTCATGTACAACATAGCACTCCATACTATAACACCATTGAGCAAGAGATTTCAGTTATTTAATTCAGCCTTAATTTTCCTAGCTTACAAATGACTAAAAAGATGCACTCCTCCTCCTGTGTTGCACTATAGACTATGCTGCTTTTTCTACTAGTCTTAGTTGAATCTGTTTTCAAACAGAGTGAAGACTAAGACGTCAGCCAAATACGGACTTGAAGCCCAGCCTCGATTAGTGGACATCATCGCAGCTGTTCCTCCACAGTACCGTCGAGCTCTGTTGCCCAAACTAAAGGCCAAACCTATCCGCACTGCCAGTGGGGTATGTAGCCCTTAGTCTGACTTGTCCGGGGCCTCTAGTTTAATGCTGCATGTAAGGTTATAACCAACCAGTTAAAATTTTGCAATATGTGCCACTTATCTTAATTAATTTTACCCAGTGATGAAGCTCGACTTTTAAACTATGTGAATGATCTCTAATTTGTGTTATGCTGTGGTAAAGGTTAAATATTTAACAGCTCTACTTTGTGATGTGCATCATTTTCAAGGAAAAGACATGAAACCTACAGTGTAACTTACTAGAAGTTGAGATTGATTTGGATTATATTCAAGAAAGTAGGAGCCAATAAATGTGCCCTACTGCCAATTAATCGCTAAACAATAGAAGAATAGAAGAATAGTTAGAATTTTCAATGCTTCTGTCTCTGTTTCAGATCGCTGTTGTGGCTGTGATGTGCAAACCACATCGCTGTCCTCACATCAGTTTCACAGGCAACATCTGTGTGTAAGTGTCACTATGTTTTTACTTAATTATGTTGCAGATAATTAATTACATTTATTTATTTAAGATTTACTTAGATATCATTTTACTGTAGATGTGAGCAGAACATGTTTTCTTTTTGCATTGGATGTGCAGAAGTACAAGTTTAAGGACAAAAACTGCAAAAGAGGAGGATGGAAACCCTCAGGGGGGAATTCATTTTTTATAGCTTATTTTTGACTTTGTTTTTACATGTTAATTGCTTTTATTGTTTGTATATTTAGTGTAACACTTACTTGTTACTTGTACCCCTTCTCTGGCAGCTACTGTCCTGGTGGACCAGACTCAGATTTTGAGTACTCTACTCAGTCTTACACTGGCTATGAGGTAAGCTAATGTTATTCTGCCTTAGTATCTAAACAGTGCAGCCATTCTGTTGGTTTACAGGCAAACAGCATTAGACTGTTGTGTGTCCAGTTTCTCGAGTCAGATCAACCTCTAACAAATGTATGAATGTTTCTCTTAGTCTTATTTTTGTTGTTCTCTCTTTCTGATAGCCAACATCCATGAGAGCCATCCGAGCCCGTTATGACCCCTACCTTCAGACCAGACACCGGGTGGAGCAGGTCAGTGTCACCATTCCCATTATTTTAAATCAGCGTTTGTGCATTCATTGCCTTTACTTGCAGCCTTGTATAAATTGTGACCACTGATAAGGTATATAATGAGTGTCATCACCCACTGACCCCAGTTATGTTGTAATTTCCATTTATAGTCACATCAGTCTAGTGCAAACGATCGTGTGTATTAATCTGCGCCACCTGAATCTCACTTTGCCTCAGTGCTGTTGGAAGTTGGTTTCATGTGCATTTGCTGCTTAAAGTTTAATTCTGATTTGTTTTGTAAGATAACTATTCTGGTAACTATTGTTGTAGAGAACATTCATAGAGAATTATATTATTTTAAGGCACACCCCTGCACTTTACTGCATTCCAGATTTGACATTTTTCACTATATGATCTGCAGCTGAAGCAGCTGGGTCACAGTGTTGACAAGGTGGAGTTCATTGTGATGGGTGGGACCTTCATGGCGTTGCCTGAGGAGTACAGGGACTATTTCATTAGGAACCTACACGTCGCCCTGTCAGGACACACCTCCAACAATGTGGCCGAGGCTGTCAGGTATTTTGTTTTTCAATCAGTAAGAGTATTGATGGGGAGTATGGGCAGACATGCACTGTAAATGAGTGAGTGTTTGTGTAGAAATAGAAACAAAGAGATGAGCTATGGTGGAAGCAAGCTTACTGAGGGTGTAGGAGCCAAATGAGCCGAATGTTATTTACTGAATGTACACTGGGTGTCACTGTGTAAGCTACAGTGGCTTTGTTACTGTTGTCGGAAGGTGTGGTGACCCGGAAGGGCAAAAGGTTTTTGACCTTAAATGAGCCCGACGCTGATGAATGGATTGTAAGTTAAACATTGGGTATCCATAGGAACTGGGCTGTATTATTATCATTATGCAAGTGAAGACCTGTTGTCTGATTGTTAGGAAATCCAACATACAGCTAGTAAGTTTATTTTCAGTGTAAATGGTGACCACCATTCAGTATTTATATATGTTGTACAATGTGACATCTCAGAGTATAAACTGTCTCCACCAGAGGAAGATGTTCTACCATTTGTAGCATTTCCATCAACACACTGAGCCTTCCTCTACGTTTTTCCCATCATATGACACAAATGAAAAGACATCATCCAGACATACTTATATCAACTGAAAGTAAAAAGTAAGGTTCAAGATTTCTGTTTTCTTTTTTCTTTACAAATTTCAGTGCTGCAAATAACTTTTTTTTTTTCATGATTAATCTGTGGGCTATTGTTAAAATTAATTTTGTCTTCAAAATGTTTTAGTTTATAAGTTTAGCAGATGCCCATCACCATTTTACCAGAGTTTATTTCTTTTTTGTTTCAGCAGTAGCTCAAAACAGAAAGATATCAAATTTGCAGTGAGATAAAACATAAAGTTGTTTTTCTGTGTTGTGCCAAATTTATTCAACCACTTAAGCCTTTGTGCATTTACATTCACTTAACCCCTTTCCATTAAACATAACGCAGCTAAACATAACCATCCTTGAGGAAGCTATGATATGATGAGCGTCTCCATTAAGTTGCTGAATAAAGGCATTCGGAATCCAGGAGCAAAAGAAGTAAAGCCACATTCATTAAGTCCGCTTCATTTACTTTCATCAATTTCTCACTTAACTGAGTTAGACCAGCTTTGAATGGGACTGAGCTCATGTCTGCTCAGTATGGATGAGGAGCAACCTTTTAAAGGACTTAGAGAAGATTCAAAGTCAAAGTAGAAATGACCGTTTGTTGAAGACGTCATAGAGATGGTTGGAACAAATAATGGCTTTTTCACAGGACGGAGGCTGTTTGTCAGCCGGGACTGTTTACTTCCCTAAAGTCTGATAAGGCCCAGAAGGCCAGTTTCTGTGAGTGTGTGTGTCTTTTCCTCTATATGTGTATATGTTTGTAACTGTGTGACAGTGTGTTTGTAGTGGTAGGTCTGAGTGTGCCTGAAATCGCCCACCTCCGCTATCAGCAGCCTTCATTAAGATGCTGTGATTACAGTAATTGTGGAGGCTTCTGTTCAGTTTGGTGTGGCCGAGGACAGCCCTTATCTCTGCCTGTGTCTATGTGTGTATGTGTGAGATTTATATGTAGTGTCTCAAAGAAAGTGCGCGTGCAAGAAGCTTCTGCTTCGCAGCAGGGCTCACCCGGCTCCTGCTCTGATCGCATAGGAGAGGTACCACGAGATAATCGTCTGAGATAATGGCCTTTTTATTGATTCATCTCATACAATCTGATCATCCTCACTGAAGCATAAACTCCTGTAATTGGTCTAAATCAGCCAGCAGACTGTAAAAAAATGGCCATGTTTTGCCAGCACATGCAGAATGAGAAGTATGGTGTGCCAAGATGAGATGTCTGTTTGGTCACCTGTGTTGTTTTTCGATCAGTGACTCAAATAAATTTGGAAGTAGCAAAGGAGAAAGTATGTGTCTCTGGAGAAGATGGGGAACCTACTGCGTCATCTCTATTCAATCTGGCACTTTCTTGTTTGCTGCATCATTGTTTCTTTAATCAGTGGGGATCTGCTGCTGTGTGGACAAAACAGTGTTTTATGAGTCTTGGTTGCAATCCATGCTGTTTAAAACTCATTTGGATAAGCAGTTACAAAGTTTTAATGTCAGCCTACTGTTCGAGGGTTGATCGTCATACAATTCACTATAACTATTTCTTAAAAAATAGTTATAGTCTCCCTCCACTAAAAAAATGTTTTTCTTATTGTTACTTTACTGTGATGTTTGAGCTTCACTATGCAAAATGATATTCAGTATGAGACATCATGACTTTTTTAACATCCATCTACTGTAGAGGCAAAGATTCTCTGTGCTCACCCATTGTCTCAGTTTAACACATACAAGAAGTATTTTTGACATTACAACTTGTCTGGAGTCTGTTGTGGTGTGGTTCAGAGTGGACTTTTCAGTGAAATACATGCAGGAGACACAGTTAAATTTTTGAAATGAACAGTATTTATATATTCATTGATTCTTCATTGCAAGAAGTAGATGTAACTACATTTTTTTAACCCTGTAAAGCCCAACATATCAAAAAATAGCCAGAACATTCTAATTTTTTGGAACTGAGATGTTTATTAAACCTTTTAACAAAATCCAAAATATAATTCATGATTCGAATTTTCAAGATTCATGATTTTTATTTGCCATATATGTATAGACAGACAGTCTCCAGGCATAAAGGAATAGAGGTGCCATATTATTTAGATTATTTCTATTTCTTTTTTATCACATTTGATACATGGGGCATTTTTGGTGATTTTTTTTTTTTTTTTTTTTTTTGCTCAGAAACCTCACGTATCAAATATGATACAAATGGTTTTATGATGCAATAAATTAACAGTATGTTATTGTAAGCATACTGTGTTCTCAGTATTACTGTATGTATATTTGTTTGGGTCAATAATTGACATAATGACTCAGAATCTCCTGGTATATTTGCTTTCCCCTCCATTACACAGATACCATTGTTTCCCATGTATAAAATTTATTTTTGGGCCATTTTGGGGACATGCTGCAAACACAGCATTGCCTCACTGAGACATCACTTTAGGAAGTAAATATCTGAAGCTTGTTAGCTGAGAATTGCATGCATACATCTACAAAGCAACATCAGCATTCGTTTGGAGTCATGTTTGTGCCCACCTGAAGAATCTAAATCCAATATTCATTCTACTTTTAGTTTTGTTTTGTCTCCACCTGAGTCCTGTCTGACTCTTTAGCTACTAAATGCTATGTTCATCAGTTAGCTGCTAACTTTATGTGCTGTTAATAACAGCTAACATAATGCTAATAACAGTGGTTAGTGTCACCCAGAACAGCAAAGATGTTGGCTGTAAAAACCAAAACAATGAACTGAAAGACCCTAAAAGAGTCCTTAAAGGAAAGGAGATCCTCTGAGTCAAGTGCTAATTATTTATAGGTTAATCACTAAAAGGGACACCTTTCACATTACACACAGTCATTTGATCCATTGTTGTTATAAAAATATCAATGATAGCTGCTTTAATTGTCGCCCTGGAGAAACACTGAGATATTGACCAGGACTCCTTGGAAGGTCCCACTGAGATCTTGTTTCTCAGTGGGACCTTCCTGTCTAAATTAAAGATACATAAAATATAACCTGTTAATACAGGTTAATAAAAGACTAATCTACATCCCCTTACAGTCCTGACTTACAATGGCTGATTTAATTTGAGTATTTAACTTGCTTTTGACACATAGTAAACACTCATTAATTTCTCATTTAACAGATTTTACATAACAAACATTTTCTTTTATGTTATCATCTGTTTTCTTTATTGCATTAGTGTGTTCTTAATGTGAGGTTAGTGTTAACTGCCTGCATAATGAGCCGTGCTAAGTCGCAGTATGTAAATTGAAGATGCTAAATGATCCCACTAGAGCCCTCCAACATAGTCAATGAGACTAAATAGTGAAATTAAAAGCCAGCGGTGATAGCCAAGCAAGAATATCTTAAGATATTATATATAGAAATAGCTGAAATGACTGAGGCAGTTTCCTCCTGTAGGTACTCTGAGCGCAGTAATACCAAGTGTGTGGGAATCACTATTGAGACGCGGCCTGACTACTGCATGAAGAGACACCTCAGCGACATGCTGGGCTACGGCTGCACCCGGCTGGAGATAGGAGTCCAGAGTGTGTATGAAGATGTGGCCCGTGACACAAACAGGTCAGTAGGTCAAGGGAGGGGATGAACGGATGGATGTAGATAAGGAAGCAGATGTAGTGTGATGGTTTTCATGCAGGCTTTTGATCTGTGTTTTTGTACATGTATGTTGCTTCCAGAGGTCACACGGTGCGAGCTGTGTGCGAGTCTTTCCACCTGGCAAAGGACGCCGGCTTCAAAGTGGTTGCCCACATGATGCCAGACCTGCCCAACGTGGGAATGGAGAGGGATGTTGAGCAGTTTATTGTAACCACTGACGTGCTTTTTTTTTTTTTTTTTTTTTGTGAGCTGAGAAGAGATTAGCTGGATTGGTACCACTGTGCATCACTGATACAGTCTGCTGGTAAGATTAATGTGCACATGTGCTAATATTTGCTATGAAGATGTTTTTTGGAGGTTAGTATTTTAATTCTAAGTTTCCCAGTTTCAGGTGAACAAAGTGGCACTGAATGATGCTTGAGAAACTAAACGAGTAAAAACTCCAGAATAACTTGAGTGCATCATTACTACTTGCTGTATCTCTCAGTGGTAGAGTAACAAGGAAGTCCTACGTGTAGCATCTTAAAATAGGAATGGAAATGCAGTGGCAGTCGACACAGTCTCAGCTGTGATGTGACTCAATAGAAATCCTGTAAGGTGCCTCTCAGCAGCAGGCTCACTCTCCAGCTCTGATTGAAAACACCGCTCCTTCCCAACATGCCCGACTGGTAGGATGTAAATGAAGGCTCTGTTTGAGGCTGCGCACGATTCCAGCTCATTTGGGTTATTTTTGCAGTGGTAAAACAGAAACCAAGCGATTAAGAACAAAAAAGAGATATTACTAATTGGTGCAGGTGAGACTGATGCATCCCTGTGACTCGTATCAAAATGTGTCACTCACTGTCTCAGAACCAGCAACAGATACACCTTCTCTCTTTTGTGTGTGTTATTTGAAGTGTTCCTGTATTTTTCATTGCTGTGTGTAATTACTGGCCATGTGGTGACTAACCGGGTGGTGCTTTACCGAAGAACAGTCTGCAGTGTTGTTCAAAAAAAAAAGTTATTGTTGTTGAATGAGGTACATATCGAATAAGAAGACAACAAAAAGGAGTGGAACATTCAGACACAGTTTTCTGCAGCTCATATTAGTGACTGGGTAACCTCAGTACAACTACACCAAGCCAGCTTTTTTCCCCATTGCAGTCTTTGTATGAAAACATTTAGTCTCCAGCACAGAGGCGTGATGTTTTCGGGTTGTCCCTCTCTCCATCAGTACAACTCTTGTGAACACGATATCTCATAAACACCTTGAGGGAATTTCTTCAAGTTTGGGGTACAAGTGTGCACTTGGACTCAAAGGTGAACTGATTACATTTTGGTGCTCAAAGGTCAGTGACCTTACTTCTGTCCCATACCCGTGAATTTGACTGGTTGGCAGAACTGTGCGACTGCAAAGCGGTAATTCTGTTTTTTTACAGACCTTTTTTGAAAATGGTCTCTATACTTAATACATCTCAAATGTTGACTTTCTGTTTTGATTTACAGTGAAACCTTGGATTGTGAGTATAATTTGTTCCGGCAACGTGCTCGTAATCCAAAGCACTCGTATATCAAAGCGAAGTTCCCCATAAGAAATAATGGAAACTCAGATGATTCGTTCCACAACCACTTATCTACAGATAGATAGGGAGAAACCTGAACATTGGAACACAGCAATGCAACTCTGGTCATGTAAAATTAAAGGAATAGTTTTACATTTAGGAAAATATGTTTATTTGTATTCTTGTTGAGTGCTAGATGAGAAGAGGCTGGGCCCAGGACGTGTTTGGTTAGCTTAAGACTGGACACAAAGGGAAGCAGCTAGTCTGACTTTGTCCAAAGGTAACAGATTCTGCCAGACAGTGTACTAGTTTCATGTTTACGGTACAGACGATGCTCATACCATGTCAATTTTGTCATGTAATATACAGCAAGAGAACAGCGTTCCCACATGATTTATTACCCCAAAATCTTGAACAGTGTAGCATACTGGTATCTTTTACAGACACCAGTTCAGAGAAAGGCTTAACCAGAATTTGCACAGATGATTTATGCAAAGCATCTTGGTGCTTGAAATGAAGTGGACATGGATTAAACAAACCAGATATAACATGTTAATTATTGAGCTTTTGGTGTTGACAGGCATATGTTTTTGCACTGTAAACAGAGTCAGGCCAGATGTTTCCTGATCATTTCAGTCTTTAAGCTCATTTGGCTGCTTAATATGAAACAGACGAACATGAGAGTAGTGTTATTCTTCTCACCTATCTCTCGGCAAGAAAGCATTTAAGCCTTCAGTATCTCTTTATTTTCATCTCATCTAAAAGTTTAGTATGCTGATTGCACAATAGAGTCAATATTTACCTGTATTTTTATTTCTTTTGTCAGAGGATCTCAGTCATAGAAAAGGTTTGAATCAACAGCAGAGAAAATTGCTCAGTTGTCAGAAGACAAAGATAGAAGAATATATAAATGACTCCCAACAAAACCAATTGGACATCTCCAGTCTTCTGAGCATCAACAACACTGAGTGCTTCATTGTTTAACAGAAAAGGATGTTTTGACGAAGGGTCCGTGTCTTCCCGCAGATTTGTTACATTACCTCTGTATGTGTGTGTTTACTGAGCCACTTCTGTGTGTGAATGAGTGTTTGATGGTAATGTGCAGGGCAGCTGCAGGTTGGCACGGCGAGGGGAAGCTGATTAAATGTGTATTCAGCTCTTAGTCTCTTTCTTTACTTTCCTGTAACATTTCCTCTGTCACTTGTCTGGTCCCTTGACTGAATTTCTTCCTTTATCTCTCCTGTCCTTTTCCTCCGAGTGTGCAATCAGTATTTCCTCTCGCCTGTCTCCTTGATCTCTGCTCCCTTTCCATTATCTCTCACTTTATTTTTTTCCTTTTCTCTCTCCTCTGCAGTTGTAACTTTTCTCTTGATTATTTCTCTCCTCTGTGTCCACCCTCTCCCCTCCTCTCCTGTCACGGCGACACCTCCGGGTTACACAGCTTGCGTGTGGCTCCCCTTTGCTCCTCCTCATCATAGCTAATCTTCCATGACATGCTTCCTGCTTGTGAATGCAGGTTCTTAAACATCTTCTCTCTAAACTCGGCAGCTCGTGATGTTTCTTGAGTTCTATAAAAATTCATGGTCATGTGAGCGGGGATGAAGTTTTGATTAATACTATGCCCAGGGAATGAAAGTCCAAAGGTTGGCTACTTAACAAAAATCTAATAAAAACACATCTAAACATGTTCCAGAAAACAATTGCTACATTAATGAAACATTAAAACAGAATCTGAAATGCAGGATTCCAAAATAAACGGACATAAACATCTATAATTCTATAACCTGTAATTACCTGTCTGAACCACAAATACTCAAAATGTAGGAATTTAAATGTGTTCGTTTTATAGGCTAATTAATTTGTCATTGCCTGAGCATGTTACAGGTGGTACTGACAGCAGGTAATGTCAATAAGAGTGCTGCCAAGTGGTGGTTCAGTGAACATGGAACGATCGGGGTGTGTGATGATAACCGGCTGTAAGATGCTTCTTCAAGCTGTGAATTTACATAGAGTACGGAAAAATAACTTCTTTTTGCTTTCAAAAGGGGTATTCACAGCCTGGAAATTGGTCTTAAGTTGCATTCAAAATGGTCTAAAATGGTCTTTAAAAGTCCTAAATTTAACTCGGTGAAGCCTGCAGAAACCCTGAGTTAAAAGACTTTCTATATTGGGTTGCTGACCTCTTCAGAATGCACATAGAAATTCAGCTGGCACAGTTTAGGTTTCTCAGATGAGAAACTGAGAATGTGCTTGTGAGGATCAAACAACCTTCCCAATCAGGAGCTTTTGTTTTGCTGTGATTAAGATGAAAGATCAGGATGAATATTAGTTCTCTCATTATTGAGCAAAATCTATGTGATATTAATTTTAGTAAAAACGATGCAGCCTGTTCTACACTAAGGCTCCTGCTGCCTCACGAACCTTAAAAGGATTAAGCAGGAAAAGATAATGAATGGAAGGCACAAATAAAAATCCCAGTTTGCACATTGTGACCTCCTTGTTCGCTTGCAGTGTCTGATTTGATGGGAAGCAAATGGTGCAAATATGATGCAAAGAGCAGCTGAGATTTCAGTGGAGGGATGTTTACTTAAATGTAAAAGAACCTTTATGAAAACTGGTGATGATATTTTAGGTTTTCTCCTCACAGAACTCCTCAGGACTAGTTGCCATCTTAGGAAAGCAGGCTCCCTTAATTTCGATTTATTTATTTTTTGCATTAATCAGATCCATTCAAACATTCTGTTTGTCTGTGGCTGATATGTTTTGCCCTCATCACATTCCACTGAGTCCCTGATATCCACCTGGATCACAGACCGGTTCAGGAGCCACAGCAAGAGAACTTTGCATCCTCCTCGCGTCTACCACAGCTGTTCTGATAATGAAATTCGATTACAACTCCCTTCCAGCCTGAGATCCTCTCTCACTTATCTCTCGTGTACAGATGCTCCCTGTCCCGGAGGAGGCATGCTTAACAGGGTTCTTCTCCACTGACCAATGAGAGCCGAGATATGACATCAAAATAGTGGCAGGTACAAAAATCCCCAAAATAGTTTCTAGTCTCCTTTTTTTTGGTATTGAAGCATCATTATTTGTCCAACTGACTCACCCGCCTCCCTTCCTTTAGTTTTAGTGCAGTGCCATGAAAGCGCTGTGACGAAAGAGAGATTATGAGATACTGATAATGGTGCTCTATTTTGGAGAATGTGCCTCGATTCCAGATCTTCACGGTTCTGAACATGATAGGCAGTACAGCGGGGAGGAGAATGACTGGAATTCGCACCGATTCCCCTCACTGAGTTAAACCAGACTGCAGCAATTGTCTCCTTCAATTGAATAACTGAGCTCTGCTGCACCATTCTCTTTTGATATCTGCCTTATACAAGCTCAGTGGATGTCCACTTTGGTATTCAGGAGTCAGCAGTTGGGCCCTCTTCTTATTAAATGCATAGACTTTTTTTTTTGCTGCTGTCTGGTCATGTAGAAAAAGCCATATAAATGAAATCAACTCTGTGGGCATTTCATTCTTTTACACTCGCTCAGTTTAAAGAAGCTATATACAGTATCTAGCATGATGGTCAGATTTCACAGTACAGATGGGGAAGTGTACAGCAAGTAGCAGTTCATAAAGATTATTACACAACGACATGACAAAGCAGTGACTTGTGGTAAAACAGATCATGTCCAATTATTATATTGCGTTGTTTACTTCCGATTGCGTCAATTTCAGAAGACTAATGAGAAACAAAGAGTAACGACAGCTTTAACTTTGAGTTGGAAAATTGGTCAGTAGTATTCGGCCTTCACAATTTCATTGGCTGGCATAAGCTTTAATGTGTAACATGGATCTGTCTGTTTATTGCAGGAGTTTTTTGAGAATCCAGCATTCAGGCCAGATGGTTTGAAGCTGTACCCAACACTGGTGATCCGAGGCACGGGTCTCTATGAACTGTGGAAGACTGGTCGCTACAAGAGCTACACACCCAGTGCACTGGTGGACCTAGTGGCCCGAATCCTAGCACTGGTGCCGCCCTGGACACGAGTGTACCGTGTGCAAGAAAATTAAAGGGGGTGGGGGGGGGGGTTGGATATTCACCGGTGACTATAGTTCCATTTGATAGTATTATTAGTTTGTTTGCACTAAACACAAATCAACTGATGATGCAGATATTTTCTATGGGATTTGGTGAAAACCAAACTAGAGCCTAACATTTAAGTCACATTCGTTGGTGCCCAGACACACAACTGATGAGATGAAGTGTCACTAAACAAACAAAAGTCGCTTGATGTAGCTTTAAAGACTAACTTAACACTAAAGCCACTTTTTTTTAAATTAATAGATTATTACCTGTACAGCCAGTGTATTACACTGAGTCAGGTAACCAGTTGATCTCAGTGACATTTTTTTATGTTTATTGCAACAGTTATTTTCCTCTTTCCAGGGAAAATACAGGGTCCCTGTATGTGCATGTGTAGTATGAATGTAATCCCACCACCAACAGTTTAATATCTGGGCTGCAGAAAATTCCCTTCACAGTATGTGAGCAGGGTGGCGCTATTTTTCTTAATAAAAGCAGCAAGTCCTTATACACCTTAAATCTCCTCTCCATCACTCTGTTGTCTGGACCCTTCACTTTTATCATTATTTTCATTGACTGTATATAAAAACTGGAAAAAAAACCCGGGATTATGTCACCGATTGGTTTTCTGATGAGGTTGTGAAGTTTGGCCGCTGCCAAATCACTCACTCTACCTGCTAGGGCTAATCCAGAACTGGGCAGAGAGGTGGAGCATGAATGGAGCTTGTTCGACAGCTAGCGGCCAGCAACCTATGCCGGGACCCTCCTGCCTGTCACTCAAAGCGGCCACGCCCTTAACATTGCATAAGTGATCCTTACCTTTTTTTTTGTTTATGTATTATTTGTCTTTGCCCTGCTTCATGCTCTCATACCACCCTCAAGGGACATCCCCATGCCATTGGTGAGCTCCGGAGTGGAGCACGGCAACCTGAGAGAACTGGCACTAGCCCGGATGAAGGACATGGGCACTGAGGTGAGACTCAAAGGCCTCTCATATTGAACTAAAAGACCTCAGGTCAGCTTTTTTCCAATAAGGAAGTTAATAGACTTTTCCAGCTGGGATGTGATCCAAACATGTACAGTAAAACTTAAGGTGGTGGTGGCTGCCAACAGACAAATGCTGACTATCACAGTCATTATCATACATAGTGTAAAATGAATAAAAAGCTCTCAGGCAAAGTTTAGAGCTGTTGGAGCATAGAATGAGATGACACACACACACACAAATTTATGTTGGATTTGTACATGTACATCCAGTCTGAGTTCATCCAGGCTGAAAACCTCATGCGCAGGCACCAGCTAAAAGTACGACGTAGAAGACCTTTATCAACTTCCATCAAAAAAGACTCAGGATAGAGTCATCAGAAAAGACCCATGGGGTAAAGAGCCTCCTGTTAGCTTCTGTTCAGCCAAGGCTTTTATTGACCACCAAGCTGAAATACACCATAACCCCACCCGGCCCTTTTTTTCTCTTCACCACTAGTAGTAAAACATTTTCTTGTTTCCAGTTCACTTGAAAAATACAGTCTATTTGTGTTATATTTTCTACCTGCCTACAAAGATGGCTTTCATTTTGTCACACATTCCACTGCACTTCCACAGATGCTGATGCTCCTGTTGAGTTCATATAATTCAGACTTTGACTAAGTTTCCCGCTGACTTTTCAGCCCGTTTCCAAAGGGCTTGCAGCTTAATGTAGCTCACTAACTCTATGTGTCATAAACAGGCAGAGCAGGAACTGTCTTCACTCTGTTAGAAAGAAATCCTTTTTCATTTTTACTAAATTGTGGCTCATCCGTGTAGAAGAAATATAACAGAAGAACAACAGGTGTATCCTACAGCCACAACATACTCTGTTTTGGCTGGTCAACAGTCTGCCTTTTCCCATCACGTCATGAGCAACCAAAGTCTGAAATCATGCTACGCACAGTATGAGTAGTTTTCTGTGCAACAGCAGGGAACCATAAAGTTGTTCAGCTTGTTGAGAAGGTATATCTGTGCAGCCTGTCACCTGCAGCTCTTCATCTAACAGCTCGACGTGTGGCTCGTCCTACTTTTCCCTTTGCTCCCTGACAAACTGATCCACAGTTAAGACACCATCACCATCAGTGCTAACTGACCAATAGATTGCATTTCTTGTGCCTCACAATAAAAGCCACTGCAGATTCCACCTGTTGACCCATTTTAATGTGAACTGGCACCAGTAAGAGACCTTGTGTTTGCATTAGCAGTAACATGATGCAGCTGTAAGAGAGTGAACAGTTCACAGTGAGATACAACTACAAGCATGTAATGCTGGATTACATGCATGCAGACTCCGTCACTAACAACATAAACTACTATGTAAAGAGGTAGTTCTTTACATAGGGCAACCTTTCTGCAGGTTGCCCTGGCCCTGGAGCTCTACATCTCTGATGAGCAGTCACCAGCCACATCGACCTGATCAGTGTTTGATTGTTGTGTCTTGTTGCTTTTCTTCTTTTGTCTCTCCTCTATCCACTCACCCCAACCGGTCGAGGCAGAAGGCCGCCCACCAAGAGCCGGGGTCTGTCGGAGGTTTCTTCCGTTAAAGGGAGTTTTTCCTCCCCACTGTCGCCAAGTGCTTGCTCAAGGGGGATTTGTTGGGTTTTCCCTATGTAATAATATTGATAACAGTAAGGTCTAGACCTTACTTTGTGAAGTGTCCTGAGATGACTTTTGTTGTGATTTGGCGCTATACAAATAAAATTTGATTTGATTTGATTTAGTGTAAATACACTTGATGGCTATTGCTAAAAAATACCAACCATAAATAGCATCTTAATGAGATTTTATGAAAATCTTATAACAGCAATTGTGATGCAAGCATGTGTCATTTCAAAGGTCAAACTAATACAAACATTAGATTCTATAGGATGTTTTGAAACAGGTTTGACCCAATTGAAGTGAATCTCTCCTCTGTGTGCAGTGTCGAGACGTGAGAACCAGAGAAGTGGGCATTCAGGAGATCCACCACAAAGTCCGACCTTACCAGGTAACAGGCAGCATCCAGGCAAT